TAATTTAATAATATATTAAAATTATTATATATAATTAATATAAAAGATTATAAAAGGTATTTATATAGGGGTTAAATAGACTAAGTATTAAAAAATAGCTTGGTTTGGTAGGTAGGTCATTTTGGTAGTCAGCACCCTCTCTAAGGGTGTAGGCGAAGACGGAACCAAAAGAGTAGGAGCGTGGCACGAGTAGATAATTTAGGTTAAGCAACAGCAGGTAGGTCAAGCACCCCTGTTCAGTACAATAATCTCAGCACTGCTGAACGTCACAGCGGAACACAGATGAAAGGAGTGCGTTGATTCTCAACTACACGATGGACGCCTTCTAGGTACCGCCGATGCGTGGTCAGCGACAGTAGGAGCAGGCAGCACCTCTCTGCAAAGCTAAGTGTAGGTGCTGCGAACAGCTCTCCTGCCTAGGCGGCAGCTGGCGAGGATCTGGGAGCTGTAGCGAGTTAATTAGCTTGTTTAGGCTTTTAAAAAGCTATATATCTCCTTAAGGTGCTAAGATATATAGTTACTATTGGCCTTTAAGGTAAAGCTATATTTTATATAAATAATAGCTAATTTTAGCTAATTTATATAAAGGCTAAGTAATATAATATATTATACTTCTTCTAGCTATAATTGCTGGTATATCTGGGGTATAAATTATAGACTATAAGGTCTACTTATAGTGTCAGATAGGTTTAATACTGTTTAAAAAGGGTAAAAGGAAAAAAGAAAGAGAACTTATATAGGTATAGTAGTATACTCTAGTTTTAGTCTTACCGCTTTACTTTACTTAAATGTGTGCAAGCCTAACAAGCCCAGGATAGTAATATAATATAATTAATTATATAAGATAATCTGGGAATAAGCCTTATTTTAAGGGATTTAAGACATGTCTTATAAAGTATAGGGAATATTAGGCGGGAATAGGGCCGTTACAAGAGTGATTTGAATAAGGGTAGATTAGATGTACGGTGGTGATTGGCTCAAAAGTCGGAACGGCCCCGCTACGGCAGACACTGGAGGGAAAAGAGGAACAAGAAGAAGAATAACAGTTTTTATAAAAAGAAGCTTAGTTAACATAAGTCTCATAACGCGACAGCAACCTAGAGATGCTATGGGAAGGTTTAGGCTTAATGTTTTGTATCGTTTCGAGTAAAGCCTTAGTTGAGGATTTCGACTATAAGGTCCTCAAGATTGTCCCTTTTGGCCGTAGCAGGGATGCCATCTGAGTTGATTCTGCTAGAAACAAGAGCCAGTGTAGTAAAAGGCTCACCCGCCGCATTCCGAACTACCATTGATGCAGAGCAGGGAGTCATTGTAGATAGTCTATGATGGTTGCAAAACTTGTCGATATATGTTCGTTGCTGTTTGCAACGAATCCGATCCCTTCTTTTGCAGGCATCCTTCTCACTACCACAATTGAGATATGGCCTGGTCTTGCACATTCCATCAATCAGGACGTGGAAAGTCCAGGTCTGAATTTCGCAGATATAACCATATCTACACTCTGCATGGGTGGAGACGGTTTTAGTTGTAGTTGTGGTACCTGTGGTCGTGCTGGAATAACCCCCAGAAACCTCTAAGGCGGCTTTTTGTCCTCTGGCATCCCCGGATACGGTCCACTTTGCGGCAGCATTCCATCCCTTGGAGGTACCAAGTACAATAGCTGTGGACTGGGTTATAGTCATCTGACTCTTTTCACTGAATACATTGGCATTCTCATACTCCGTGTATGGAACATAGAAAGCCTTAGCAGTGCCATTAACGAAGGTATTTTTGAGATGGAAGTAGGTTGTATCACAGCTGCCCCAATACGCAAAGCATGTTGGTTCCGTGACGTATCGTAACTTGTACGCGGGAGGATTATCGGGGGCGATTTTGAAGTATTTCTCAATGTCATCTATGTATGTCCTGGCAACATCGGAGGCAAGCACGTTGCCGTATGGAGCGGCGGCGAAAATAGTGGGCGGTATGACTAGCAGACCGAGAAAAAGGTTGATTAAAGCCATTATGGAGAACTGAAAGGGAAAGGCATGCAGGACAGGGAAGGCAAAGTGATTGAGGTAATAATGAATACAATAGTTGTCTATGCGCTTGCTAGTGCCTACTTATACTGATATTTTCCGGGCTGCGGGAGCCTCAAGAGATTACATCACCTTAACTGTTCTCAGCCAACTGCTTGATGACTGCACATAGTAAATCCCCGCATCGGACATGAGATGTACACCAGTCCCACAGAACGGCCGAACTAATGGAAATAGTTGCGAAGTGCCGTCTTACTGCATTTGATGGAACCAGGCCGATCAATAGAGATGACAGTACATCTGAAGGTGCATTCATTTGATGATACCTGCAGTGTGAGACATGGGGCATCCAAAGTATCGACAACACGTTCAGATTCTCCGAGAAGCCCCCCACCCCCCCTATGTAGGTTGTAAGCTAACAGCTCAAGCTGAGTATATCAACAACAGTAAAATGAATTGTGTGTGTGTGTGTATGTGTAAAATAAATACTACCCATTGATCTTTGTGTTGGGAAAGCAACTGCGGGTGTATTCTGGGCTATTTTTCGCAGTGTCACGGACGTTGCGAAGTGCTTTCTAGCGGGCAGCCTTCAGCAGCTCATACGCCAACAAAGCTGCATCTTTAATGTCTGTCAACACCATTGGGATTCCCGCCAAGTGTCATGTCGCAAAAATACAATTGGTTACCGTTTTTTTATCGTATTTATTCCGCCGTTGTCCCTATATTTTTTAATGTCCCAGTGTTTTCCGTCAGGTAGAGGGCGACGAGCTTTAGTGGCTCCCGTCGGCCCCTACACCAAGATCAACGGGTAGGACTTAAAGGTACTAAATCCATGTGTGCGTGCCACACCCCTACCTTGGTTAAGTCCTCGCATGCACCACCAAAACGAGCTATGAGCAACATCATCCGACGCGGATCAAGCTACAATCAGGAGGGCAACATGAAGTAGGTAACACAAAGCACTTATGTGGGGACTGGTGGTGCGTTTTGGATGCAATACTAATCGCAAGTTATCACAATATCGGATTATAATGGACATGTTGCGTGAATATATACATTAGAGCCTGGTCGAAAATGTGTTATTGGTGTGTAAGAAGCAGGACAGTTTAGAGCCCAGAACAACAACAGCTTAAATAATATCATGCGAAGCTGCACATTACAAATTCGATGCTTTGCAAATATCCGCATTCGAGCGAATCCATTTCCCTTAGCAGAAATGCGTACGGCTTGCTTTAAATTGCTCAGCTGCCTTGGGTTGTTGCAGCTCGCTGTGGCATTAACGACGAGAAGAGCATATGTCCAGATTCTCAATAACACAACTCAACCTATCCGTGCAGCCACAGTCATCCACAAATACAGCGACATTTATCAGCATCATGGATATTGGGAAGTTATACAGCCCGGTACCAGGTCAGGCAACATGCTCCGGGTAGAGTATCACACTGGTGCCTTTGCAACCGGCAATGATTGGTGGCTAGTTTCCTGGAAAAACCCAGAGGGCACCAGGTACTACTATTCAAACCCAGGGAATGGAAGGATCTTTTTCGACACCGTTGAATGGATCTTTGCTGGTCGGGGAGGCCACAGACTAGAGAGTACAACGGGATTCAAACAGCATACATTAATGAAAACAGATGCAAATCGAGTAACACAAGTCGTTATTAACACCGACAACACTATTCAATTTTCTTCCAAATCCGGTTATTCCAGTACTACAAGCTCATCTACGCCAATCTTTAGGCAGTATGGTAATCCCCAGCCATTCTACGCTATTGCGCATCGAGTGCTAGACAAGGCTGGCGTAGAAGTTGCCCTTAGGCATGGCGCAAATGCCGTCGAAATAGACGCCAATGCCTGGAAACTGGTCCACAGGGGCTGGTGGGCAGACCACGACGGCACCCTGCCTAGCAGAGGTGATAGGATAAGAGATGTCCTTATTGCTGCTGCAAATGCTCGCCGCGCCGGCAAGAACCTTGGCTTTGTATGGCTTGACCTCAAAAACCCGGACCGTTGCGGCCAGCTTGAAACAGGTTGCAATATCGAGGCTCTACGTGACATGGCTCGCCAGATCCTCGCCCCCGTTGGTGTCAAAATACTCTGGGGTTTTACGGGCTCTGATATCAATGGCCGTGCAAGCGGAGTAGTTCGTGAGGATCTCACCCCCAGCGAAGCAATCAGCATAGATGGCTTAAGCGGGACCAGTGCAAGATATGCAGAGAGAATTTTCAACACCTCAGGTCCCACAAATACGGCTCAACGTGTATGGTCCAAGGGACTTTTTCAAATGGCCCTCAACTTTGGCAGCTGTGAAGACAAAGCCATGAGTGCATCGAGTGGCCAAATTTGTCCTGAAATTCGCTTAGGTGTCATGTCAGGGCTATTTGGCAAGGTCTTTGGATGGACAATTACTCGTAACGATGGAAGCGAGGTCAACAAGTTGATGCATGCTGGGGTTGATGGTCTGATTTATGGGCATATGTCATCGTTTTATGAAGACACGAAGGAAGCCCGGGACGCTCTACAAATCATCAATAACTGGCTAAAGGCTAATAGTAATCATCGATACTTGGCTAACTTAGATGACAACCCTTGGTAGTAAATAGCACAAAAAAGATGGAATGGTTTCATGTTCAGGTTCAGCTTCAGGTTCTATTCTTCGTTTTGCAGGTCCCTGTACTCGTTGGCAATCCGATGAAGCAATGGCATCGCGAGCTTTGTTAAAACGTTCAGCTTTGAACAGGATGCTCTCTAACATCGAGGAACAATGGGTTAGCCAAGGTGGAAAAGAACAAGTTAAGCCCGTAATTTTGAAAGAAAAACTTTCCTTTAGGAATGGAAAGTTGTTGCTGCCGTTTGGAAGATTTTTTAGCCGCTTAGAATCGCTTCCAAGCAGCTCCAAGATGATGGCATTCCTGGTAAACGGTCCACCTCAGGGAGCTTCGACAAGTATTTTCAGGTGGTGGAGATGCTTCTTGACCACCTTGAGCTGGCTGTTCAGGGGAAGATATCCAAGAGAATGATGACTAGATTATGGAAGAGATTCATCTGTTTGATAACATGGATACGAAGACCAGAAGGCTTTTAAAGGTTTACATCAAGCTTGGATGGAAAAAGCTGAACTATTACTATGACAAGTCAACCTCCACTGCGTATGTAGCGGCTGCTGTGTTCCACCCATGCAAGAAATGGCGAGTCCTAGAGCATCTTTGGAACCGGCTACCGTCTCGCCAGACAACATAATAGAAGAAGGCGTGTGAGAAAAGCTCAAGAAAATTTTGGGAAGATACGCATAAAATCATGGCTCATGTGGCAGCCTGTGGCGGCGATTCAGTGGCGGGGAGCAGCAGTGCCTTGGATTATATTGAGCGCCGATTGGCGTTTGGCCGGTCGTTGAATAACCAGGCTCCCAAAGGCGACAAATAAAACGACCAAAACAGCCCGAAGCATCATCAGCCCAGGAAGAGCTTGATCAGTACCTTTCAGAGCCGACAGTTGACAATATTACATACAAAGCTGTCCTAATTGCTTGGTGGAGGAATATTAGTGCTGTGCGCTTTCCTCGGCTATCTTATATGGCTGTAGACTTTCTTACTATTACATCTTCATCCGCGGAAACTAAGAGGGAATTAAGCAGTTGTGGGAGGATGCTGACGCCATTTAGATCTCGCCTACGACGGCATATTGTGGCCATGGCCTAGTGCCTTTGTTCGTGGAGTAAGGCTGGTATTTATCAACTTACTCTTCCTCTTAGTCTCCTTGAAGGGGATAATTGGAGGCGGGATCTTTAATTTGTAGGCTGGATCAACATAGATATGGATAATGAGGACTAGTCTTGATCAATCTTATCGTCGATCAATATCGATCAACTTGGAGGGCCGCTCGATCGATCAGTGCTTTGAAACCGATCTATGCGATCGATTCCGAAGCCTGCATCTAGCAGTTACACCAAGTTCTGGAATTTCAGTCCACAGAGGTATTATCTGACAGTATATTGTAGATGCAAGAAAATACGTAGATGCAAGAAAATACGTAGATGCAAGAAAATACGTAGATGCAAAAAGGTATGATCTTGACTGCGCATACTGTCACTCGAGGAACGTGAGATCTAATATTGGGTTCACTATCTGGCTCTTGGACTCAAATGTTGTGGTGGACAATGTAGACCTGCAATTTCCAAGCACTGTGAATTAAACGGCATAACTATGCAAGGACTTTACTTCAGCGACGTATATCTGACAAGACTTCAAATATCATTGCTTGAGAGATCCAGCACTGCCAAAATTAATCTCATACTAGCTCAAGGGCATTTGTATGGTAGGAGGTACTTGTCGGATAAGGCTGCCTCTGTTAGTTGAACAAGCAGACTTAACGTAATTGCTAGATATTATAAAATCATCGATATCAGTAGTTGAGAGGCTGGGAAGTCTTCTAAACTAAAGATAAATAACATGAACCCTTCTAAAGGATGAAAAAAAAAGAACAATTTTTTTAATATTCAAGAAATAAGCTTAGTTAACAATAAGTCTCATAACGTAACAAATTATATTGCTGTCGCCGGGACTTTATCTAGAGAACACAGCTTATTTATTACTTTTAATACCAGAGTAATTAATTATATAAACCTTAAAGTATAACTTATTTATAGCTATATATACTCGCTATATTGCCGCAAGAAAGGCGTGGTATGCGGCGCAGCCTAAGGGGAGCATTAAGACTAACAAGGGACCTGTGGCCCCCCGTGGCCCCTTGTAGCTAGGATGCTAGCGCAAGCTTATTATCATGAAAAAGCTCTTTTTGTATTTTTATCTTTATATTTTATTATATTTTTATATTTTAT